TTTACTGGTACTGACTAGAACAATTTCTCTTTTTGCAATTTGCTTTGAAATTGGCTTTTAGAACGCAAAATTGTCGGGACAACCCTTACTGTTTGGGAAGGCTTGGGCAACAACGCTGGGATAAAGAAAAGCAGCAAATTGATAAGGAGGGCAAAGCAACCGCAAAATGTTTTTCGCGTCGTGATGTTACTAAAGTGCCTTGCGGTTTAGTTAATCTTGGAAACTCTTGTTATTTAAATAGCTTTATACAGGTAATTCTGGGAACTTTAAAGATGTTTTTAAAGCGGTATTCGGGGTGTTTGACTTTTGACTTACTTTTACAGTAATGTTATAGTGACTTGTATTTTGGCTTTCTTTTTTTTCTTTTCAATAACATATAGTGGAGCTGTAGTCTTTAGTTTCTTAATTAGGTATGAAGAACAGCAGAAGTTGTAGAAAAATTTTTTTTAATGGAATTTTTCTTGTATTACTGTGAACTTTTTTATTAAGACTTGCTTGCTGTGGTGTGTGGAAGAGCTTATTAGGAAGCTTTGAGGTAGTTGTATCAAAATATCCATTTTTGTTAAAAGGGGGCAGAATGGAAGTCATGCTTGCAAAAAAATGGTCATCTCTTTGTTTGCTGTATCTTGACGCATGGTTACGCTTTTTACTTGACTACATTGTAAATTTCAAAATTTAAAACTTGAAGTATCTGAGAAGTAATGATGCGAGAACTGATTTGAATAAAATTAAGGTTAACTTGCTTTTTTATGCTCACTTTTCCTTATGTTTCTATCGCTCAGAAAAAAATCACGACTACTCACGTATTTTGATAGGTCTATACAGCTTACAATTTACAGTAATGTTGAAAAAATTTTTTCTTTTGTTCTACTGTTGTTCTACTTTCAGATATACTTCAGCGATCCATTCTTTCGCCGTTTGATATATTCATGGCATCCCGTAGATAATTTTGTTGTTCCCATTGGTGAGAAGGTCAACATTGAAGAATTAATGTTGTGTTTACAGCGCTTGTTTGTGACACTTCAAGTCACACCTTATGTGAGCACTTGTTTGATTTCCACGTTTAATTCCACTAGGCAAAGTAGATTGTGAAAATGAGATAATTTGGTTTAGGAAGATGCCAACGCTGAGCATTTGGCGAAGCTACTCCAACTAGATAGCGAACAGCACGATGCTTTAGAATTCCAGATTTTACTGTTTAATAAAATTGAGAAGTTGCTAAGTTCTCGCGAAGAATGGCGGGATGTTAAGGATGCTATTGTTAACCGATCAAAAGTAAAATGCTTTTTCACCTTGAATGTTATGATTTCCTTCATACTTGAGTTTCTACTTGTTTTATGTAGTTGATTTAGAGATCAGAATGAGAAATAAATTGGTTCGTTGTTTGCAAACTGCTGAATAAATTTCGTTTTAAGGGTATTATAACTCAGCGAATCTCTTGCTCGTGCGGTCGCGAAAGTGTGTGTGATGTACCTTTCCATCCTTTTATTTTGGGGATCGAGAAAGTAAACTCACTGTCTAAAGCTTTAGAAGCTTATTTTTCTCCCGAACAGTATGCTTTATTATGCTTTATTATTTACTGACACTAGTAGTAGATAACTGAAGTAAGGCTGAGGTCTCTTCGTAGTAAAGTGATCTAATATTTTATGCCTAATTGTTTGTTCTGTATCATGTTGGATTTATTAACTTTATTAGTAGTGTTTGCTGCTGATTTCACCTTGCATTGTTTAGCTTACCCGACTACGTTTGTCCCACCTGCCATACTCCTGATTTGACTGTTCGCAAATTCACTATCAAACAACCGCCTCCTGTTGTTACAATCCAAGTCAATCGTTTCACGTTAGATGCGTAAGTCTCTTTGATAAATTAGATGAGTATCTGGGACATCGCTTTTTTTAAAATAATTTTATCGTTTGATTAAGGATTAACGTACTGGAAGTCTCTGCAAAGTTCTGCTATGTTATTTTACCTCTATTTCAGTTAGATGGCTCCACCTTTTTTAATGAAACGGACACATTTATTACGATTGGTAAAATAAAAGTAGAGCCGTCAGACTAAAAGAGCTTCACTATTTTTTCATCTTTTTTTGTGATGCTGAAGCATTCTAAATTTAATTTGAAATATTCTTGTTTATTGTTTTCAGTGCTGGACGTAAAAAAAAAGTTCGTTCTGCACTTCAGTATTTGCGTGAAGTAGAAATTGGTGGAGTTTTATATGAGAACTGTGCTGTCATGGTTCATGAAGGTCCAAATGCCGACTGCGGCCATTATTATGACATTATTAAGCATCCTGATACGGGAAAGTGGTTCACATACAATGACGAGGTTGAGTCTTTCTCGTTTTCTATGGAAATCATTCATTCTTAGAGGAATGCTGTTTAGGTAGTGAAACCGACGACGGCTCCTGGTGTAGCTGTTGAGAAGGATCGCATATCCAAAACAACTCCCGACATGAAAGGATGTTATGCATTAATATACAGGAGGAAGAACGATACTGACAATGACGTACCAGAGCCTCCGCAGCACTTGAAAGATGAGATCACCGCTATGGCAAGTGTTTTTTTGCTGTACAAGTCTTTCCTTTATTATCATAACTTTATAAAATGATATGTGACAAGTAGTTTCACATATTTGATCATCAGTGATCGTTAAATAAACAAATGGTTCTTAAAATGCATCTAATTCCAGCTCGATGCAGAGTTTTTGGCTGACAAGATTGAGGCAAATGGAACTTCGAAAAAAAGCCATGACTTGATGGAAGGGCGCAAAAATTTTTTGTCGAGTTTATTTGAAAAGTTACAAGTATGTTTATCGCTCTGAAACTGTCTAGTGAGCATCAATTTTCATAACTTTCTTTGAATTTTTCAAACTCGCTTGTCTTTAGCAATATTTCCTATAGGCAAGCGTTTGGAAAGTTGCCGGAGACTGAAAGCTATGAGAAGGAAAAAATTAGTTTTGAAATTCTGTGGTGAGCAATTAGTATTTGTGGCATAGTGTTTACTTGCAGGTCAAAACGTGGAAACAGGTGAAAGAACACCCCGAAAGTGTGGTATTTTTGCCTACTCAGCTTTTGAGTAACATACAAGCGAAGGAATTTGAGGCTTTTATCAAAGTTAAAGAAGAGGTGGGTTTTTTTGAAAGTTAAAAATTTTTAATTCTTCATTTTCGTTCTTCTGGCTAGTTTCTTTGGCAAAAAGTTTACTTTAATTCGTCTGTTTTTAGTACAACAATAAGGGGAAAAGGTTCCAAACGACTTGTGATGATGCGGACGTTCCTTCAACTTCTGAGGTTGAACTTTGTGACCTTTTTCAGCTTTAATTTTAGAAGGGGGGATGAGAAAGGAAGATGCAAGTTTTAAAATGCTGAGTATTTAAACTATTTTGGTATGTTTGTTTCAGCAGTTGATTCTGTCCCCGTGCTATTTTGAATTGTGTGAACATGGTCGAGTGTCCTTAGAGAACATTTTACGAGGTGAACTGAAGGCAGTTTTGAAAGTGGGAGCGCAAGTTCTGTTGGAACATTATCAGATGAAAGTGTCTTCTTCAAACGATTGTTTGGCATCGTTGAAAACGGGGTTCGTTCTTTTTTTTTCCGGTTGCGCTGTCTGCTTGATCTTATTTCATTTGAAATCTTATCTTTTACTGCATTTAGGAAAGATATTTGCTTGGAGTGTGTGGGTAAAAAGAAAGCTGAACTTGAGTTTATGGCTTTAGTTGATGCAAAGACTAAAACTGCGAGGCTTCTTTTGAGAGAAAAGACGCAGAGGTTTTTTAATTTTCACGTCATGTACTTTATATGTTAAGTTCTGTTTTATGGAGATAATTTTTTATAGTTTTGTTTCAAAGCGGTTAATAATTGAGGACTTTCAAGGTTTTACCATGCCGACAACTGTCTTTGGATTTCGACACGTTCTCTCATGCAATATCGAAAACTTGCAATTCGAGCTTATAAGCAACGGTGCAAATGTGTAACTGAAAGAAAGCAAATTTTCTTCTCCTCGCTCATCGAAGAAGTTAGTATTCTTACTGCTTGTTGGCTTTAAAGTTGAGTTATCCTTATTTTTTGTAAGTGACAAATAATTTTGAGCTACTGTCATCAGATTCAAAGTCATTGTTAGTTAAGTGTTATTTAGCCAAAAGGAAAAAAATATGCGCTTTCAAATAGTGGAACAGTGTGTTCATCATGCTTATGCTTTACTAAGTTGGAGAGGGATGTAAACGTTTTCGGAGTAATGGACACTATAAGCGGTCTCTAAAGTTTTCAGTTTTCCACTTATTATGTGTTAGTACTCTGTGGTTAAGAAGAGTTTTTGTTTCTTGGATGCGGTAGGTTTTTTCTGTAGCAGTCATTTGTCGTGTAGACGATCAACGAAATAATTAAAAAGTTTGTACTGTTAGATGGGCATACAATGTGGTAAATTTTTGCTGTGGAAATTGATTGGATTTGTGTTTTTATATATCATTTTTTCGACTTGAGTTACAAAACACTTAATTCTTTTTCAGTTTTTGGCTTTCTCTGTGACGGGACGTCTTTTAGTTACTGTAGGAAATTTGTTTTTATTGTTTTGAGGAAAATTACCATAGTTCAGTTGTTTTATTTTTTTCTGGTTAGATGTTAAAGACAACAGTCGAAGAGAACCTCCTGCAGTTTCTTTTGCCTTGTTATTATTTCTATAACATAATGGTTTACAGACTGTTGAAAAGATTGCTGAGGCTCGTGCAGAGAGCACAAATTCTTCTTCGGAAAGTAAAGCAGAGAGCGGTACTTGTGGAACTGACCCATCTACCAGTGGTATGAGCTGGGATGACATAAAAAGTGACAGTGATATGAGGATAGATGTAAATGAACTTCGTGACTTTTCTAATAGTGACGTGGTAGAAAAAGCCGAAGTGAATGGTGAAGTACGGTTTTTTTTTTT